GTGAGGGATTCAAGACTTCAGTGGAGGATTGTGAATGTGGTGAAATAGAAAGAGAACTAGAAGCAGAGTCTGAAGATGTGACTAAGTTGCTGCAACCTCATTATAGAACTTGGAGTTGCTTTGCATGGATGAGCAAAGACTGGTTTCTTGAAATGGAATCTTCTCCTTGTGAAGATGCTCTGAGCTTTGCTGAAGGGACAAGAAAAGATTTAGAATACCTAAACTTAGTGTTAAAACAGTGGCAGGATTTGAGAGGATTAACTACAGTTTTGAAAAAAGTTCTACTGTAGGTAAAATGCTGTTAAACAACATCACTTGTTAGTTAAAAATCTTTCCTGAAAGAATTGGTGGCTATCAAAGACAAGGGGGAAGTGAGATGAGTCAGAGAAGGGATCCCTAAATTTTGTCTAAATGTACCTCTAACCAAATTTTGATTACAGACTTAAAGATACTTAGCTAAAGACAGAAGATCTGAACTGATATAGAGCTGCTGCCCAAGAAACAGAATTTGCAATTCAACACAAGTGGAGTAACAGACTACAAATTTGCATTCTAGTTGCCATACAAAATTACCTGCTCTATGAAGAACCAAAAAAATAGGGGAGAAAAATAATTTTCTCTTTGGGAGTGCTTAGTTGGGATAGACAAAAGACAGATTAACAAGAGAAAAACAGAGGCTTTTTAATTTGTACAGTGTATTTTCCATATGAATGGGTGGTACCCAGGGAATGAGTAAATCTCAGATTTGGCTTAGAAATCTGTTTATATTGCATCTCTAACTAAAAACAGTAAATTTTTAGAGAATACAGAAAATGAAGGAAAAGAAATTTGAATTTTCATGCATGCTAATTGCAGGAAGGCAAATAAATGAAAATTTATTATATTGATTTCTCTGGTGACTTCTCCAGGCTGATTGGTGTCTCGAGTTGTCTTTACTTGTTGAAAAGGGAAGACTGACATTTTTGTAAATTTCTGTACTGCTTTTAGGCCAGTGGGGGAATGCAGAAAGCTGTTCTTATATTGCTTCTTCTGAGTTGTCTTCAACTCAGAATAAATAATTCTTATGTCAAAAAGGCATGTTTTAGGGTGGTATATTCTACTCTTCTACAATAGAAACACATATTCAGGAGAAAAGAAAATTAGCTGCAACCAACCTTGAAATGAACCAGATAGTGAAACTAGCAGACAGGATTTTAAAGTGAGTACTGTAACTGTCTTCCACAAAGCACAGCAAAAATACTTTCAGTGAATAAAAAGATAGGAAAAATCAGCAGGGAAATGGAAAGGCAAAAAACAACATTATGGGTAGTCTAGAATTAATATAAACAAATCTGAAATTTAAAAGCTTCTGGATGGATTTAGAGGAAAAAAGTGACTGAACTTAAAAATAGATCAATAGACATTTATCCATTTGTGAAAAGTAAAGAAAATATTGAAGAGATAAAAAGCAACAGGGCTTCAAGGACTTATTATATGAAGCAATCTAACATAATTGGAATCATAGAAGGAAAGCAGAGGAAGCATGGGAAATAAAAATAACCTGAAGAAATAGTGGGCGAGAATTTATAAATTCAATGAAAGATTAAAATTTTTCTTCTTTAATAGAGAAGGGAAAAACAACACATTATGTGTAGATAATTGATTAATTATGATTAATTAATTAATATGATTAATGGCTGATTTCTAGTTAGAAAATCCTGGAGAACAGAGAAGAGTGAAAAAAAAACCATAAAAGTACTAATAGAAACTGTCATCTAGAATTCTTTATTCAGTGAAAACATCCTTCAAGAATGAAGGTATTTTCAGATTAAAAAAAAAAAAAAAAAGAATCCAAGACCTCTGAGAGAACTTGTAATTAGAAACCCATTCATTGAAATGGTGACATTTAAGGGGATATAGGTAAAAAAAAATTTTTTTCTACTCTTTTATCTCTGAATTTGTTTACAAAACAGGTTGTACATGAAAATTACATTATTATCTTGTAGGATTCATTGCTCATATATTGGTAATATAGATATCAGCTGTAACAGAAGAACTTGGGGTAGGACCTAAACCTATAAGATTTAGAGTTTCCGCATTTTACATGAAGTGGCACATTACTAACTGCAAATGGATTGTGAAAAGGTGTGGATATCTCTTGTATCCTCTAGAGCAACAGTTTAAACTAATTTCCCTGCTAAAAGTTCAGCAGGAATATTAAAATACCTTTCTAAAAGTATTCAAACAATCCAAAAAGCAGGAGGAACAATAACAAAAACAAAAATCAGACAAACTGAAGAAGTTAAGAATGTGCCATCTCAAAATATGCTGAATTGGTATATTGATTATTTCAAGCTGAAATTACTTGAGAAACTGTAAGTTCCATTTGGCATCTCTTTTCCTACATGCAGCAAGCCATAAATATTCTTTTGGGAGAGAAATCTTTGTGTCAAGGCAGGAAAATAGCTTTCATCACCAGATATTGGTGTGTTAGTCATCTTTCTGCTTCTGGGACAAAATACCTGTGATTATCAACTTATTACAAAGAAAGCTTTATTTTGGCTCCTGGTTTCAGAGATTTTAGTCAATGGTCAATTGGCCTCTGTGCTTTTGGGCCTCTGGTGATGTAGCACATAGTGACAGGGAACATGTGGTAGAGCAAAGCTGCTCACCTTATGGTGCTAAGGTTGCAAAGAGAGAAGGGAAGGGGCTGGGAATCCCAAATGCCCTTTCAATGGAATGCCCTCAATGGCCTAATTTCCTTCCACTAAGCTCCACTTACTAAAGGTTCCACCACCTCCAAATAGTACCACAAGCTAATGACCAAGCCTTAGCATATTGGTCTTTGGGAGATATTTAAGATCTGTGATTGGGATCGTAATGAAGCCAAATAAATAAGTTTATTGAGTTAACCCTTATTTTACACTAGATTTTACATCCCTTTCATAAATCACTTAGTGACATTCTGGAATTTACTATTTGTAGTTCAGAGATCAGTCTTTTATTCCTTTGCAAATTATTGTTGTCTAAAAATAATAAAAACATTGATTTGGACATTTTCTTTGGACTTCACTCTGTTGTAAAAATTCCCATGTAATATGCTTTTTTTCTTGCTAATCAGCTCTTGTATTAATTCAGTTCCTAAATCTAGCCAAAGAGCCCACATAAGAACTAAAGAGTGATAGAAGGGAATTCTCCCTCCCTACCAAAAAAAAAAAAAATAGCTAAGGCTGTGCTATCCAAGATACTTACTTTAACTCTGAATACAGAGAGACTGAAAATAAATGGACAGCAAAAGTAATCATCAATAAGAAAACTGATGTGACTTTAATATCACATAAGATAGATTTTATGACAAGAAGATAAAGAGGGTATTAGATTTTAAATATTTACTTTTCATTAGTTTTGTTTTGAGTGTACACAAAAATTTCTTGAATCAGAGATTTTTTTGTTTACCAGACAGCACATAGCAGGTGGTTCCCTGTGACTCAGTTCTTAATGGCGAGGGTGATGCAGTGAAGGTGAGGTCTGCTGTCCTACATGCACAGAGTTGTATTACAGGCAAGAATGAAGAAAAAATAAATTTTCTGCACTTTTTATAAAGGGGAAAGAAGCAATGTCTACCCTTCCCCTTCTAGGAGAATCTTCTTATAAATGTCTTACTCTAACCCTTTGGAATGTACACTTATTTCTATATGAAAAAGACCAGCCCATTGTCCAGTTTTACCTTTTCTCATTCCCTTTTTGAGATGTAAACATATATTTCCAGGGGTTAGCCACTTGGAATTTTCATTACATATACAGTGGCAAATTAATTCTTAGTGTTTGATTCCAGAATCCCAAATTTCAGTAAAATTTGCCTTGACACCTCTAATTGTGCAATACAGGTTCTTTTCTATAGTCCTACAATAGGAGCATTTCATTATGAAAGTGAGTCAATTTTTTAGGAAGATTTAATAGTCAAATTTGTGTATGCCACATAACAACTTCAAAATACACGAAAGAAAAATAATCATAAAATATATAATATATATATATAATCATAAACTGTTTTTAAGACCCTTCAGCAATTGATATAGCAAATAGACTTTTAAAAATCAACAAAAGTATAAGAGATTCTACTATGTATTTAAGAATGTTGTGTATGGGGCTGGGGATGTGGCTCAAGCGGTAGCGTGCGTGCGGCCCAGGTTCGATCCTCAGCACCACATACAAACAAAGATGTTGTGTCCGCGGAGAACTAAGAAAAAATAAATAAATATTAAAATTCTC